TCACTTCACTTCAGTTCATTTCAGTTCAATTTATCATTATTTTTATTGCAATTTAAATCTTGTCGTTCCTATTGACTATTGTAATCTCGTCAGGAGGAGGTTTAATCGAAAACATTCCTCGTGTCCTGCCCCATGGTTTGGGGGTGTCACTTGATGCTAGCTCTTGGAGCATGCCGTCAGTGTTCGGGTGGTTATTTGGACAAGGGAATGTAGCAACACACGAAATGGTGCGGACTTTCAACTGCGGTATCGGAGCAGCCCTTATTGTTGGTCAAGACATTGCTACTTCGGTTATGGAACATCTTTCAGCGTTGAACGAAAAAGCTTGGATTATAGGAAAGGTCACTGAAAATAGGGAAAACGTTGACAGAGTTATTGTTAACAATCTTGAAAGTGTGCTGTGCGAGTCTGCTAAAAGTGCAGACATTAAACACCAGGATGACAATGAAACTGTTAAACGACCAAAACTAAGCAGCGTAGAAATGGAGCGTGGAAAGAAAATGAAAGTAGGGGTACTAATCTCTGGCTCAGGAACAAACTTGCAAGCTCTGATCGATCACAGCTTACGGGAGGGCAGTAGTGCAGAGATTGCTGTGGTCATATCAAACGTGCCTGGAGTTCAGGGTCTAACGCGGGCTCAAACAGCTGGTATACCAACTAAAGTAAGCTTGATTCTGAAAACTGATTCAACTGCTTTGTGTGTTTTTGGCTCATTTTCGTCCTTTTTATACCCGCTTCATCTTCTAATATGTATATCTTGGCAGAGAAACTGATAATGAATCCCTCCTAACGTGAATCCGATTAGTTTGTTACAACTTGTACAAACAAGCTGTCCGTAACATGTCTGAGGTACCACAAGCGTTGAAAAAATTGTGAAATGCAAAGCAGCTTTGTCAGTAATAATGATAGTAATGAAAATGGTAATCATTTACGGACTGTATATGAAAACTGTGGTTTAAGAAATGAATTCGAAAGCGATCTTCGCCGTAAGGAACACTACTTAAACAGTAGTGTAAATAAGGTATGAGAAAAATTCACGCCTCTACAGGATGTGAACCCATGACCTCTGCGATACTGGTGTAGTGCTCTACCAACTGAGAGCTGTTAGAAAATGGTAGGGGTTGTGACGATAACGATAACGACTATGATAATGATGACGATAACGCTGATGGCAATAATGAAGATGACGACAATGTTACTGATAATGATGATAACAACAGTATAATGATGATTATAATGACAACGCTACTGACGGGAAGCGTGAACATTTTTCGCGAATTTTCTTTCGCGGGTTGGTTATTTTCTTTTCGTCCTCGAAGACATTTCAGCAGGTCAACATACCTGAAATTTCGTTGGATTTAATTTTTGCTATTTTTTGCTCTAGCACCAGAACATTAACTACATATGAAACGGTATGTTTTCAAATTTTCTCATTTGTTGAGTTCCATGGAGGAAAGGTATACGGGAGATTATTTGTAGATGGATATATGTGCAAAGAAAGCAATTGGAACATAATTCGCATGAAGAGTTCTGTTGCATTTCATTTTCCGAGATGTCTTTTCGGGCGGGAACGCAGATTGTGGATTCTCTATTAACCAAAATTTTCACGCTTTGTGTTACATGTGTTATTTCTTACCAGTCTATATTCTGTCTTTGCAGAGGCTGCGAGAAAATGTTTTCGTTAAATTTCCGTTGTCTGTTTTCCAGGTAATCAAGCACAAAGATTTCAAAAGCCGTTTAGATTTTGACATGGCAGTGCATGCAGCATTGGAAGAAGCTGGAGTAGAACTGGTTTGTTTAGCAGGATTTATGAGAATTGTAACCGGCGAGTTTGTTCGAAAGTGGCGTGGTCGGCTGCTGAATATTCATCCCTCTCTACTTCCTTCATTCAAAGGCATGCATGCGCACAAACTTGTCTTGGAGGCAGGTGTGCGCATATCAGGGTGTACGGTTCACTTTGTGGAGGTAAGCGCGGTTCGCACGACACTGAATTTTATTACCTTCCCCACTGTACCAAAAAAATTACAGATGTAATCTACTGTTACTAATAAACCTTTCGTTATTTTCGAATTATCTTTTTCGCTTGATTAAACGCTGCGGCGTTTTGAGCTTTTTTTCTTTATTTTGCGACTAAGTGCGGCGCATATTTGGGAGTGGTTATCTTTCAGGTGGCGCTTATTTTAAAGTCCTCAAAATTTAAAAGCAAAAAATCGTGGCCGTGGAAGAGACCCTTTTTTTTCGGAATAGCGCAGGCTTGCGCTTTGCACTATCAATCAATCAAACTTTATTTAAAGAGGGTGA